CTCAGGTGGGCCACAGGGAGATGGAGGCACCCCAGTCACCAGTCACCGCTGGAAATCTTGGCAGCGGAGCCTTGATAATGTGAAACAGAGCCAACACAGCCCCGCAGAACACCCAGGCGCTGATCTGGTGAGGGGAGACTCCATTTCTACATGCGGTTTAAAATTGATACCCCCATGAGGCATGTTAGAAAGCAAAACATTGATGCTGTCTTCACTGGAAGCATCGGTTGCTTTGTTTTTTTAATGACACAGAAAGCTGCTTGCAAAGAGATAATTTCATTCAGCCTAGCCCTTGCTGGATGTGGAAGGAAGTCCTTGGAGGTGACTCTCCAACGTATCCAGTATGCCACCTAGCCCTCGCTAGCTCTACTACACCCACTACTGCGGGACGGGCTGCTCGCGCCTGCTGGAAAGGGACTCCCAGCATGGAGCCGTGAACAATTGTTGGGGTTATCATTGCAAGTAAGAAGGCACTGTCCACGGGAAGGACAAATATCTTGGGAAGAAATCACATTTTACTTCTGACACTCAACCCGGTCTCCATGCAAAGTGAAATATCTTGTCGATATCTGCACCGCCTGCTGTTGCCCATCTTCCCTTTCTGCACTGCAGTCTCAGACTTGCCCCATCAGTTCCACTTTTGCCACTTGTCATTTTTCCCTCCAAGGATGAAATATTGGCTTTTTTTCATAACGATGCTTCAGGCACCTGATTTCACAACCTGCTGGTGTTTTTTAATACTTGCACATGCAAAAAAATTATACATTCTCCTGTATAACCATTATTTTGCTAATGAGTTTCAAATCTACACAAACTGGACAGTGGTTTTGGAAGAAGGAAAGAAAAATCTCACTCTTGTATCTGTGATTCAGCTCTTAATCTTTCTAGATTGCCTGAACTTGTTTGATGTTCTAAGTGCCTCTAAAACACACAGATTAGCCCAAACTGATTAAAGCGTATGTTCCATCCTCTTTATCATACCTAGGAAACTCAGTGCTTTTGCACATTACAGAGAGTGTCGTAATGAAGTGTGATGTATCTGCGATGTAAAGAACGGTAACTGCTTTCCAAATAATTATTTCTTTTTTTGCAACAGAGCCATATGTAACACATGGAGCCTATAGCAATGAAGTATATTAGAAGACACTGATAGAAACCTTGGTTTCCTCTGAACGCTCTCTGTTCACTCCCCCAAAATAAGAAAGCATGTCTTAGAAGCATAAAGCATGATTGTGATCTCCCTTGGAAGAGCGCAAGCCAGGAGAAATGTGATTTTTGTTAGCTGCAGGCTCTCATACAGCTCACAACCAGCCGTACGCTGCACACTGCCCCGTTGCTTTCCCAGGGTAGTAGTGTTTTTCTGGAGCATCAGCGAAAGATGCCAAAAAGATAGCCCTCATAAGGAGCATGGACCAGGCATTCATCTACAACTGCATCCTGACTGCTGGGCTCAGTGGTTCAATGCAGGTGGTAGCCCCAAGATCCCCATGGCTGAGGCTACTTCAATAATGTGGGAGAAAACCCACCATCAGGGCACATCTCATGGCTAAAACCTTGTTGTCTTCTGGTTGAGGATATGATTCAGTTTCCAGGCGCACTTTCGTGGATGAAGGTCCTTGCAGCACAGCGTAGGAGTGAAGTGAGGGTGGCTGCTAGGCAACTTCACACCACCTGGATTTTGGCCCCCTCTGAAAGCCCAGGAGAAAGTTCCTGGGCAGACCTAAATTAGAGCAGCTTCCCCAGGGATCCCTTGCAGGATCTCTGCCCCATGGCGATCCAGCCGTGCCCAAGCCCCCTATGCCAGGGCTTGCAGCTGGGCTCAATGGAGGCAGTTCTCTACACGCCTCACCATCTTGTGTCTCGCAGGTTGGAGCGGGAGTGAAACCTCCCCTCCACCCCTCTAGATATCTTGCTGTCCCTGTACCCCCATATACGGGGCACACTGTTTCTTAAGGGGTGGAGGAGAGAAAGAGGAAAGCAAATTCTCTCCTGCCTTAAGACCTCTCACAAAGTGTTTCCAGATCTCCAGGTGAACAGTGCTTGCTCTCTGCCTGGTGCTATTTTCTGCAAAGCACCCACTCAGACCGGCGGCAGATTCTCATAAAAATGAGCAGCAGGATGCAATTAATATGCTGTAAAAGTCATAAGTGTCAACTGGAGAAACCATTTAAAAACGCTTCTAGATAAAATCCTAGGGGGTGGCTTTTCTTACCTTAAGGTTAACTGTGGTCTAATCAGAGATTCAGGTAGTATTAAATAAATTAAATAAAACCTATGGAAAACCTCTTGGTAGAAAGCAAAGCAAAAAAAAAAAAGCTTAGAAATGTGGATTTCTTTTTTGAAGGGGGGGGGGACAGGAGGGAGTTGATCTTTACTACAGAGTCCACGTGGGGCAGGAAGGCAGTAAAACAAGGAACACCTGAGAGGTGCAAAAAAAGTCTTAAGCTTGGAAAATTTGGAGAAGAAGGAGTTAATGCTTTTAAGCAACCACCCGTCCTCTTACCATAGATAAGGGTGCATTCTAGTGGCAAAATCCATGCAATGCAGCTGCACAGATGACTGATCTAAAAAGAAACCTGGGGAATATGAGGCTTTGGAGGAGTGTGTGCATATGTGGAAGGGGGGTTGACTTGAATCGCATGTAAACCTCACCAGAATTGGCTGATCCCTTTTAATTTCCCACTCCGCTGGTAGATAACCCTGTGCTTGTGAGCGAACTCCCACCCCTTCGCTCAGCCATTCCTCCCGGCTGGGTTCAGCTCGTCCTTCTGCTCCAGGTGTAACATCCCGGTGCACAGCTGCCTGGGCGGGCCACGGGGCTGCACACTGCAATTTTGGAGATTCCCTGCGCCATGCTTCCAGCTTCCCCCCTCCTCGCAATGAATGAGCACTGAGGGAGGCAAGTGCGAAGGACCACAGCCCGGAGAGCTGTAACCCTTAGGAATGCAGCAGTGGAACAAAAGACAACAAACCCCAAGCTGTCCAGGACAGAGGATGAGCATTGCAAAGCACTTTTTTTTTTTTTTCCTTCTCCCTCCCCACTTTGTGCAGGGCAAGAGGCAGGAGAAGAATGAGCTAAAACGTGCAAATTGGACTTCACATGGCAAAATTCCCCTTGTTTTCTGGCATGCCCTAAGCAACAGTGAACTTTTCCAAAGAGGAATCTAACACAGTTCTTACAAGCAGCCCAGCCCTCCCTCCTGCTCACTGTCCAGCTGTGTTAACCCTTACTGTTTGGGGGTGTCGGGGGCACACCCTGGCACTGGGCAAAGCCTCACTGCGTTTTTACCCCTCACCCGGGGCAGAGGGGCAGGAGAGCTGGGCACCCTGCACACACAAAGGCTCCTTTCCTGGACCAGGGCGGGCAGGAGTGGCTCCCTGGCGCTCATCCAGGCATCTCCCTGCTGCGCTCACCTTTGGAGCTGATGGGAAGGTGTGTGCACCGGCTCCCCCTTCTCTGAGGGTGCCCAGTCCACCAGCTGCCCAGGCAGCAGATGGGGGTCCATGCCCCACCAGCACAGGGTACAGTGTGCAGGATCAGGCCCTGCTAACACAATCTCCCCCCTTCCTCCCCAAACTCAGAGCCCTGACCTCTCCCTCCCAGACTCCCTGCAGCCCAGGCTGCCCTGCAACCCAATTGCAATCACTTTTCTCCTTTTTTTTTTTGCTTAAACGGTGAAGATCTGAACTTCCCCCCTCCCCATCCTCGGCTTCCCCTTCCCCCTCCTCCTCCCCTTGTCTCTCCTCATAATATTATCCTTGATCACTGCCCGGGGTTTGAAGCCCAGAAGTCAGAAGCTGTGCACCCCACCCCCACCGCCTCGAGTGTGCACTGATAGGGCCCTCGCTGCTGGCACCTAGTCAAGCTGAGGTGTCATTGGGATCTCAAATTGCAGCTAGGGGCTGGCAGGCAGCCAGAGGCAGTCTATTTAAAAGACAGCCTGTTCTGCAGTATTCAGTCTCTTTAGAAACTTCTCCAGGGGAAAAGTGTTGGGAGATCTACAAAGTGGATTTTTTTTCCCTCTATTTTCTTTTTTTCCCCCCCCTCCCCTTGTTTTTTACCGCTCCTCTGCAGACTTTGCAACAAAACACTCCAACTTTGCAGAAAACTTTTCTTTTTTCTTTTTTTTTTCTTTTTGCCCTTTTTTTGGCTTTTTTTTCCCCCGGTTTTTTTGCCTTTGCAAATCTTGGAAGAGGAAAGCGGGAGGGTTGAACAGAGCCGATCGAAACACAACTTGCTTCATACCAAGCTTCCCAGCAGCTCGCTGCGTCGGGAGAGACTTTTTCTCCTCCTGCAGAAGAAGAGAGAGGGAAGGGGAGCTTTGCATCCCCTCTTCCTTCTCCTGCGCCCCCCCCCCGCCCCCGATTGCTTCGATGCATTAATAGCAGGACACTGGTTTTCAAGGAACTTTGCTCCCTTCCCAACCTGCCTCCTCCTCCCAGCCCGTTGGGAAGCGCGTGTGTGTGCGTGTGCTTCTGCTTGTGCGTGAGTGTGTGAAATCGTCGTCCCACCTCCCCAAACCCCCCTGCTCCCCCACGCCTCCCCCTGCAACCTGTAGGCTGTGCAACCCCTGCAGGCTTTTCTCCCTTTCCCCCCTTCTTCCCTCCCCCTCCC